GTTACTCAAGCTGGGACTCCGTGCTTTAGAAAATCAGCATTGGAGACCATTCTTTAATCAGCTTTCTTCTATTCCTTAATAAGTCTAAGATTCTGCTCCACTTCTTCATATGGAGGACTTAATTCCCATTAAGTCTTAATTCCCACGGGAAGGGTACTTTATTTACACAGCTCAGTGTATTTAGGTTTTTTTTTAATTTCACTTGTGTTAACCACAGCATTGCTGACATAGTGCATTGTTTTAGGTAGATAAGACCAATCCATTCTGCAGGACACAAACTACCTACCTTGCTTGCAACAAAGGCTTAACAAGGTATAGTGGCAATAAACTGCTTAACTGACCTCACTTGATTTCTGTTTGGAACAGAATGTTGTTTTCTACTCCATATTTATGTTAAATTCAGTGTAAAAGGGAGTCTAGTGCAGGAGGCACCTGGGTTATGCTCTGCAAAACACAGGAACTGAGTAAACCAAAGAACAGAAAATCTAGCCAACTTCCACAGGTTGATGAGAATAAATTTATGGCTAAACTCTGGAACTCTAGCCTCCCATTCCCCTCCAAGAATATACCACCTTTTCCTGATGATTTTTAGGTGATCTCTGCTAGTCTCTAGGACAGAAAGAAGAAGGTGAAAAGTTTAACAAAAAACAAGAAAAAACAGTGCAGAGGCTGAAACATTGTCAGCCTTTCCAGTGAGCAAAAAATACCACATTCAGACAGCCAAAACAAACACATGCTGTTTCACAGGCTAAAGAAGGAATCCAGCAAGGCAGACACTCTGTGCTCTTCCAGCTTGTCTGGAAGCTCGTGTTCTATTAACACAGATCAAATCAGAAGTGTGTGGAAATGGGACTGGTCACGATGTGAAGTAGATAAGGTGTTATCTATTGCTTGTTTAATAAATGCATGAAGAAACCAACCTTCACTTATGTCTTCAGTATTCTACTTCAGGAACAAGAGCCCAACTTAGCTACAGAGAAACCTGCTTTCTAGACTGAAAGCTGTCTTTTCCCCAACAAAAACCAAAATATTGCCAATGCAATCCAATTCCTCCCACCGATCCAAACTGACACCCTGATCTTTGTGCTGAGTGTTTGCTTTCTGTACTCTTCACAACATCCTAAATACCAAGAAGACAACAGTGGATGTGGTAAAATCAATCACACATGGTTTTCCTTCTTTTGAGATAGAAGGAGCCAAAGCTAATTTACAAAAGAAGGTTTCCATTGTGCATTACCAGTTTTGACTTAATTCTTGACATATTTCCTTGTGTCCATTTCAGAGGCAAACAAGCTAAACATGCAAAGGAGATCTATGAGGAGATCTATGCAGGATTTTCCCCCTATGATCCATGGAAATATTGCCTTTGGCTTTTCAGAGGAAAGTTGCACCTGGTACTGGAAATAGGGGAGTGAAGGTCAGACTAATAAAAAGCTTTAACTCAGGCAAACACAACTTTTTCTCAATGGAGAAATGCCATTAGTAAGATGCACATAACTGCAGATTTATACACCCAAAATTCTGAGATGAAGATCTATGTACAAGAGGTTGAGCCCTCTGAAGGGTGTCTAATAAGACAGGCTCTGTCCAAGGAAAGAGATGATTTCTGGAAAACACTGGCTATCAACATATTGGGTTAACAGTAGTGCAAGAAAGTTGACTTATTTAATTCTATTTAACACAACAGCAACAGGCAGATAAGAGATAAAGAACCAAGAGGGAACACAAGTTGAGTAGCATGGTCCAGCAGAGAGAAAGGGCCAGGAATTGCAATACCCAAGTCCTTTGCCAGACTGTTTAAGCTTTATGTTCTCACATGTTCAGAGCCATATTGCCAGCTCTGGTGCCAATATCTGTGACTTTCATACCATGTCACAAGAATGCAGCATCTGTTGTGTTCAGGTGCTGGAGCCTGACCTCTATCAGTGCTCAAATGAGAGTGGATTCTTCTCCTTCCTTGCATGTAATTGAAGAAATTAACTTCTTTGTGAATATGTGGAATTCACATTGAGGCACTAGAAATCAATGCTTGTGTTGTCTAGAGCATGCAGATCTTTGACTGCCTGTACCTTATGCACAAAGCTGCAAATGCTGCTTTCATTCAACTATTTCTTCTGTGCTTTTGAATGGAGAATTTTTTTAACTTGCAGGGAAAAAAGCTTCCTTTGGCTGCTTTACTTTATCCTAAGGTGACAGTCACTCTTCCAGACACCAGGAAATACTCATCTACAGACTCAGCAGAAGAAAAAAGGTTTTCTCCAGGGACTTCAGGAAACGTGTTTTGTTTTTCCTCCATAGCAAATCTATAAGGCCTGACCATCTATGTGCAAGCTGCACAATTCCACTTCTTAGGAGACAGCAGAGAAATGACAGGAACCACTGAAGAGAGGTTTGCCTGTCTTCATTCGCAAGTTCATTTTGCAACTGCAAATTCACATGTTAAGATTTTTCCACTTTAGACTAATTACAGAAGAAAAGTCCAGAATAAATAGATACTTTTGAAAGTCTTGGAAGAAATGTAGTTCTCTTCCCTAAATGACTACTAGATAGTTGACATTTAAGAATAATTTGATTAAGTCATCTTTATCTTGATCCTTCATAGAGTGAGTCGTGCTTTATCTGGGGACAGCCCTTACACTCAAGTGCAATCTTAGTTTTTGTTTTCACATAACTTTGGCATCTGCTGATCTCAGACTACCTGCACGAGGACAGAATGTGCCATTAGTCTGTTACCACGACAGAAAGAGAAGCAGATAAAACTGCTTAAGTGTGGTGACCAAATAGACCCAATGACCAGCAAACAACCAAGGCACTGAGCTAGGCTCTGGCCTGTTCAAAGTGTGAAAAAGCTTACCAAACAGAAGACATCACAGTTGGTTCTAAATAAAATCATCTCATGTTTGTTATATTTTTACCCACCTGGAGGGAGGAATTCAGTCCTCTGGGAAACAACTGTGTTGTAGGTACTAATGCTGTGGTCTCTAGTACAGAGTCCTGGGCACTGGGCAGGAGAGAGTGGATGAAGTATGCTTGGAATTTTCATTTAATAGAGAAGGAGTAAAAAGATTAGCCAGAGACATAGCTTAGCTCCTATTGTCAGCTCAGTTTCAAACACACTGATTACAGAAGCAGCAGCCCCACTCATCTCAAGTGCTTGCACACAGCCAGAGCTCCTTTCTGCTAATCTTAAGCACTTAAGACTACCTCTGCTGCCAGAAGAGATCAGAACAGCTGATAAAAGGTCCTTCAGATCTCAAATTCTATTTTTAAAAAAGTAAAGAAAAAAAGAGACAGAAATATGTTAATTATGATAAGGCCAGAGAGTAAATAGGAGGATTAGCTCCACATCTGTTAGACAAAATAACACTTTAAGAGGCATTTGAATATTTTGATCCTGACCAAGTGGTATTGCTCTTGCCTGGTATGAGGTGGCAGCAGTGCAGCCCTCATCACCAGAGCATGCAACGAGGCTGATATGTGCTTTGTAGCACTGAATTGATGCCAAACAACCTGATTTTATCAACAACCACACTCTCAGGACATTCCACATGTGTAGAATGGGAGTGGACAGCAGGCCAGATTTCCTTCATTGTCGTAAATCATTCACTTCTACTCAAGTCAGTGAAGCACTGCCAACTAACACCTGCTGAGGATCTGTGCAAGGACCTCAAGGTCAGTATCTTAGAGCCCTTTTTACCTTGCTTGCCATAAAGTTATTCTCTAGAAAATCTCCTTGTGCAGGAGGCAATTTATGTGTTGAACTTACCTCCTAGATGCACACTGCCCTCCAACCAACAAGCACTCTTTGGCAGATGCATGGGAAGCTGATGACAGAGCAAGTAGTTTTATTCACTGAGTCAGTTTTGACATGGAAGGGCACTGAAAAGCTGAAAAATATTTATAGGGAGTTCCACTTTCAGTATTAACCAGAATATCAGTGGTTATTTTGTTATTTTTAAGGAGTGCTTAGATGGAATAGTGTTACCCCTTCGAAGAAGTCGGTAGCACAGAGAACATAGCTATCAAGATTTACATAAAAATAAGTCATGTTATGCTCAAAAGCTTAAGTTTATTGCTCTCTTTAAAGACTATCACCAGTATTTTAAAAAAGAACGCCAGTTCTTTCTGCTAGCTTCTCACTGAAGGAAATATTTTAAATACAGCAATAAAATTAAGTGGTTTAAAGATAACACATTTTGCCACACATTCATGCAAACCCTGCAGACAGGATTTTTACAGGTTCATGGATACAGAATAAACACAAAGATGCGTACTGAAATATTGGGAAACTTTTTCCCCACAGTGATGAAGTTGTAGGCATAACATTTCAGGCCTTACCCTGCACCTGCTGACATCAATGGCAAAACATCAGTGGGAGCAGGATCAGCCCTTATTGTTCTGAGAGCTGCTTTACCTTCTCCTGATTAGGAAGTGCAGTAAATTCTCAGAATCTTCTGCACTAATAGAAACAGTGGGTTTTGGTTATTGTTACAAATAAAGAGAAGCAAATATATTTTTAGTAGGTCATCAGAGCTTCTATTCACAAAACACTTATCTTTCATATTAAGGATCCTGCGTACCTCCATTTCTCTCTGCTCAGCAAAGCACTGAAATGTGTGCTCACCTCTAAGTATTAAACACAAACTACAATCTTCCCAGCCTGATTGAAGTCTAAACCAAAAAGCACAGGCAGCAGTCTGTATTATTGGAAAGGAAACACTGTTGCCAGGACCAGTGGTTAGAATGGGCTAATTATTGTCTAAATTTGGTTTGAGGGCAAATTTCTCACGAAGCAGCCAACAAGTTCACACTGATTTTTTTTTTTTTAAGCTGCCTTTAGGATTTGCATTAATTTTAATAGGCACTGGACACATGGTTACCCTCAAAACTTTGAAACAAGTATAAATTCATAGAATAAAAGTGATTTTATTATTAGATTTTTAATAAAGATGAACTAAAAAAATTCCTCACCTGATTTTAAATCTCAGATTTCAGGAGAAATTCTATTCTACATAAAAATAGAAACTATTTGCAGAAATACAATCTGCTTGCCAGATGACTAAGATGCCCAAATATTGACAAAGAAAAGGTAAAGCACAAAGAATTTATGTTCAGATTAATGTCTACTCAGATTGACCCCACTGTGATGACACTGGGGTACACTGCTGGTAAGAATTTGAGGGAACAATTTGACTCACGTCATTGAAATCTTGTTTCCCCCTTAGTTCTGATAATACTGGTAGTGGACTGCTTTAGAAAAAATAAACAAGCAAACATGATGTGTGAAACATCATTTCAATGCAAATCTACTTGAGTCTTTCAATGCAGAGGCTCAGAAGGTTTACGATACACACAGTATTCGGTAATTTTATATGTAAAAACAATCAGAAAGAGGCAAAAATTTACTTTCAAGCTTAGTCAACATACGGCACATTTCAGCATGACAATTCAAGAAGTTTCACACTGTATTTGGATATATTAGCAATGAACTTTTAAAAAAGAACAAATTGAAGACAGTGGATCTTTTTTTGTTTTTGTTTTTTCTTGCTTTTGTAACAAATGAAGCTACTATAATTATTTACAGTATAAATAAGCCTTTTTTTGGTGAAGATTACGTCCTGTCACATATGTTTAAGACAAGGCGTACCTCAGCTCTTTAATGTCAATGCAAAGAAGAGCATAAAAGCAATACAAAGTAAAATAATATCTTTCCAGCTAAGACAGCCAGGTTACCATGTGTCTCTTATCAGATCTGAAATATATCTGAGCGCAGTCAAAAGTTCTCCTGGCTTTAGCCTTTAGGAATATCATGAACACTTATTCTTCTGCTGCTCTAGAAAGCTGCTTTCCGTACAAGCTCATGACATGATGCACAAATTGATACTGTTCACAAGTCTGGATCATTCCTCCCCTGAAAGGCAAGAAGAAAAGGGGAGGGAAACAGCAGTCTTATTACTTGCAAACATGTGAGGAAATAGCACAGCTAACATGAAGCTTTTGCTTCACACCAAAGATCCATTCCAAAGTTTTCTGAAATGAGTGAGAGGTGCCCTTTGATTGCAACCAGCTTCAAGTCTGACCTCGACTTCCATTTTGAAAGTGTCTGCTGAGCAAGGAACAGAAGGTAGTGAGAACAGGAATGGGCTTTACCTTCATTTATTTTCCTTGGCAGAGGCTCCCCTCCAGGAAAGCATCACCATCATCATTTACTCTTATCTTACCTGAGCACCTGTATTCCAAGAACCCTTCTGTGAAAAGTAATTCCCACCCCAAAGCCCTACAGAGATAGATGGGAGCAGGGGAATAAAGAGGGGAAGCAGCTTATCCAAGACTGCACAGCTGCACTACTGACCGAAAATGGGACCAACAAGCGCCAGGCCAGGTCAAGCCACGCCAGCCCAGACAACTGATGCAATTTTCCCATTCTGCAATGAGGATTCTTTCCTCTGTGCCACCCCACATCAAGCTTTTGGCAAGTTAGCCACAGAACTAGGGATGGCCATCAGGATTTTGGAGCACACAATGTTACTTTAGAAAGGACAACCCAGATTTGTAACTGAGTTTACTGCTATGCACACCCTGACAGCAAAATATCCCTCAACACAGTAACCTGTTTTGGTTCAGCTTATTTTTCAGCTTTTAATGTTCTCTTTAAAACTGAAAGCCTGAAAGGAAATGCAAGCAGGAGTGAAGTACTTTATTTTCCATGTGTCATTAGCCTGTGTATTTCTGCAAGTAGCACATTAACCAACATATAAGCACTACAGAGAGAGACAGAAATGAACAAAACCAATTAGGATGAAGTTGTTAATTTTAAGCAGATTCTACTAACATTTGAAATTTTGCTAAGAGTACCATCAAAAGTGATATGATCTCTTGACAATCCATTATGAAGACAATTGAAACTTATATCTGAAGCTCACAGAAAGTGTACACAGAATTATGCCAGCACTGGTGCTGGTGCATGGATGCTGGCAGCACCGTGCCAAAAGGAGGCTGAAATGACAAGGGGAGCGGAGGAAGATGGGAACCCACAGGTGACTGGAGCCAACCAGATTGTGTCAAGTCTGAGAAGAGCATATGTGGTGCATTCCCTTAGAAACCTCACCAGAGAACATGAATGAAAAGTTGCTTCCTCTAAGCCAAATGGGTAGCAGGCTGCTAGCACTCTCCTTGGGGACAGCCCTTTTATATGGGGTCCAGCTTTAACCATTTGGGTCACACAGCAGCCATACCAGTAAAGGAGAGATAAGCAGGAAAGACAACCTTGTCCTTCAGCCCCTTGCATTTATTTTGTTAAGCAGCTGCTTGAAATAACACTTAACAATGAGCAGGGAAGGGCAGGGACCTATTCTCTAACCTCTCATCATCTATCAAAGGTGAGAAACAAACACTATGTTGCTAAAAAAAAAAAATAAATTTCCTAGCTGAGCATCTCCTCCCCATCTGCTCCCCTTAATACAAGCTCACAGTTGATTTGTTTCTGAGTCCCTCTGTGCTCCACACAGCACTGAAATATATCTCTGTCAGACTGTAACACACAAGGAGCATTAGTCGTATCTGACAATTTCTCCCCAAGAAGTTCCATAAACAGTGGGGTTGCACCCTGAAGTTGTAGCAGCAGAAGCACCAGGGTGTCTCCTGAGATTCAGACCACAGGAAGTTATTGTCCTTTTTATCCAGCTTCCTGCTATGTGGTGGCTTCCTCCCTTGCCACACATATGCACACCATGACGTGCTTGCTGTCCAGGCTTTGGCACAGAATTATGTTTTCACCCCTATTTGCAACAGAAACCTTTGAAATCTGAGTTGCATTGTGGGCAATGACAGCAAATGTCTCTCAGCACTGTGGGAAGGATGCAGGAATGATTACTTCCTCCCCTTAGTCATACTAGGTTATTTTAGAACCATCTGTTGGCCACTAATGCAAAGCCCAGTGCACAGAACTTTTCCAAGGGATTCATGAAGGAATGAAGGGAAAACCCCTTTGTTCTCTCTCATGGGTGCATGGCAACCTCAAAGGCGGTTCTCAGGGCTAATGCCAACCTTTCTGTTTCTGTGTAAAGCAGGGAGGTGCATTCCTTCAGACATCTACTCTGGTCTGAATTCAGCTTTCTTTCCCTAAGTCCCTGGTGACTCCTTACCATCCTAGACAGTAATCATCAGGCAAGAGGAGGAGACACAGTCTTCCCTCTTATAGCTGCTCGGACACTGTCTCAACCTCTCATGCTGTTTTGAAGTCTCCTGGAGATTTTGGGGGGAGTTAGTGAAAATGAGAGTGGGTGGCAGCATGACTTCCAAGAGACTACAAGCCCTATTTTTCAGTCCTTGAAAGAAATCATGCTTCTCTGTAGGAAGGATGGTGATCTGCTTTCCATCTTGAGTATTTTACCCCATGACATTTAAATAGCTTTTATCTACTCCATCCCACTCCTGAGAGCTACATGGCATCTACAGAGGTTCCTGCAGTCTTCCTTCTCCCTATGGTGTCCTTTAAGTACGATTTTCCTTCTTCAGAGTCTTGGAGTGACTGCCAGTTCCCCTCTCCCTTCAAAGCTAGTATTTGCACCTGGCCTGCTGTATCACACACATTTGTAAGCAGGCGCCCTCAGTCTTCATTTGTGTGGCATTTTTCCTGTGTAACATTAGTCACAGAGACAAGACATTTCATGTCCAGACAGATATTTAACTGGACCATGGATAATCAGCACTCACTATTCATAATCTGGTTTTCTTTTTCTCAAGAAGCCTTCCCTTGTCTGGCTAGATTCCACTGAAACAGCCAAATCTCTAAGCCCCTGCAGGTCCCTGTCTATCAGAGCCTCAGCAGGGCAGCAAGCATTTCATTTTTTGCCTCCCACTGAGCATAATTTCTTCTCTGAAATAAAGTTCAGCGTGGGGTTGAGGTTCTTTTTTTTCCCTCAGAAAAATCTTTGGTATGTTTTTCGTGACATCTCTTCCCCCGACTACATTTATCATGATCATTAGAGAGAGCACTGAGACATGTTTTGATGGCACTTGAAACCAGTGGGAGAGGAAAAATAACATCTCTGCTACAAAATTCAAGTCTGTTTACTTAATAATCAAACTCAAGGTGGTGTGTTAAGAAATGCTTAACTGGAAACCATTGAATTTGTGGAGATTTTCACAGCTCTTTTCATACGTCTGCAAACACTCCAGGTTGTGCACTCTCCTTCCCCAGGCAATGTCTCTCCCACCATGGCTCACAGCTCCAGTATATGAGATAAATTTTCATTACTCCTTCTGGGAGAAAAATTATGATCTATGGCTCTGAACTGAAGTACAGCAGATCTTTGAGCCTTTGCTTCTGTGTGAACACATGGGGCCAACTCCTCAGCTGGTAAAAGGTCATCCCTTGCTTCATGGAGATGGACAGCTGTGCAGACTTTGATTGCCAGCTGTGAACCTAAATCAGCTCTAGGGCTGTTCAGCAAGGTTTACTGCTCAGGCAAAGACTACAAGTCAGAGGAATGTTCTCTCCTGTCCTCCACTTAGGTTTGTTCTTCCCCTCTTACATTCTTCTCCTTAAATAAGAGGAACTATTACTATTTTTGCTTTTTATTTTTCTGGAAAGGAAGCAGGCTTTCTTACCTGTCTAACCGTAACTGGCAGGCTGTTCGCAAAATGTCAACTATGCCTTCGTTCTTCAGCTGTTTACAGCAGACACTTGTGGCAATAAAGCAGCCAGTCCTCCCGATGCCTGCACTAAGGAAGGGAAGAGCAGAGAGAGGCAGTGGAGATGTCAGAAGGATTTTGGAACTTTCCGGTCAAATGACTGCCACTAAAGCAGCACAGACCACATCATCCCTTTTGTCCCTCTGACCTTTGCCAGCTGGGTGCTTCCAGACAGAAAGCCATAACTAGGAAAAGATACCAACTTTGCTGGATGACATGATTAAGTGTGAGCCACTCACAGCAGAAGGGTGAACGTTGCAGATACAATGCTAAAAATGGACTACTGGAGACTCATTGAACCAATATGTTGTTGAACCTCTCACTGAGCCATTGAAAAAAAGCTTCTGCATTTCTTAGTAAGATTTGGTTGGACAGCAAGCCTTGCTTTGAAGGCAAACTTTGCTTTGAAATTCTCAATTTTAACAGCTTCTTTGAAGCTATTTTCATTCACAGGCAGAGTAAAAAAAACTCCAACTCTTGCTTAAATAATTAGAGCTAACAGGGGAATAGTAAGTGTGATGCCATTTTCTGATCAGGCCTGAAATCTAGTAATTTGAATTAGAGCAAAATACAACAAATTCACCATCAAAAAAATTTCTTACAATTTTCCTGAACTCTTTTGTATCTAACCAGAACTGAATTTATTTTCAAAGGCACAGTGCTATAGAAGCTGTGAATTCTTCTCATCACCTAACAAACTACCAGCAAATGCTGGAAGCCCTTCTTATGCGTGAAATAATTAAGTGAACATACTCAGGAATAATTACTTGACACAACTACAGGAAATCCTGCTTTCATTTACGTTGTGAGAAAATCGTAATGCAAAACCACCGGCAAGAAACATTCAAGCAACATTGGTGTTCACGGTTCACAGCTGCCCACAAATCCTTCATCTTCCACTTGACCATAACCAAACAGACCACAGCACACAGCTCCTGATACTGTTTACTGTTCTGTCACCTCAGTGTTTTACAAAGGCAGGGAAAAACACCCATTTTTAGATAAAGGAAACAGCACTTGTCCCAGGACAAGCTGCAGGTCTCTCAGTGGCTGAGACAGCACTGGGTGGCACATTATCCATATAGAACACATCATAATCCTATCTCCTTGTGTCTTAGTATTTTTTTTTCAAATAAAAATGCTCCATTTATCCCCAGATTGTTACAGTGTCATGGGGATGACACCATACAAGAGGACAGAACAAACATGAGAAGCAGGAGTGGCATAGTAACCAGCAGCAGATACCACAGTTCTTCAAGGAGCTCCTAGAGAGTCACATACATTTCCATAGACAAAGAGGACCTCCTTACAAACCATTTCTTATTTTCATCTGAACTCGCCTAAATTTTTCCACATCTGTTTTAAAACACAGGCAGAAAAACCAGACATGTGGTATCACATGAGCATTTTAATAGTGATTACTCCATATTAGCTTACAGTCAGATCTGTGATGACACCAGGCTACCAACCATTTCTGCCAAGATACATTCTCATTGTATAATACCCATTTACTATGGCTTTTGGAGAGCAACCATCTGCTGTTTCCTAGAAAACATTATGCAAAATTAAGCAATATTACATACAAAAATAAATTTGGCAAAATGTATGTTATTGAAATGATAGAAGATTACCCTGGCAAGATAAACTGCATTTCTTATCAGGCTTTCTGCTATTTACCTGGAACAACTGTTTTGAGAACAGACTGTAGTTTTCAAATAATCACATTTAACCTTCCTAAACACTGGCAAAACAGGGCTTCCTTTTAGACCTCTGGAACTTCTCCAATTTTCCAAGAACTGTAATTCATCTATACTAAACTTTAATGGTTTAGAGTGTGTGAACCAACTTTTTTAAACCACTCTTGGGTGAAAATCAACAAGCATATCTGATTTAATAGTGGTTGCTGATGCTTAACACGCTCCCTAGATAGCAGTGCAAAAGAACATAGTTCATCACGTCTATAAATGATAAGTACATCATCCCACTTCTTTCTGAGGACGGAGAGGAGAAGTATCTATCCTCATCTATTTTTATTCTGCTCTGATTGATAATTACAATTTTTTCATCAGGCATCAAACCGCTGTAAAGATTGTGCTCCTTCCATATAAGAAGCTTTCATCTTTGCCAGGGATTCTTACTGATACTTCAGTTTCACTATCAACTGCATACATTTCCTGACTATTAATTAGTACTTGCTGTAACCAGCTTTGTCACTCTTTCATTTATGTGTTATATTTAAATTACTGTCTTTGGCCTAATAATGATTTATTTGGAAAAAAAAAAACAACAACAAAGAAGGAATCTACAAAACAGGGAGTTTGGTGCTTAAAATTTAATACTATTATATGTCTGCTTGCATGTGTTTTCCTACTCAATTTCACTTAATGTACGTTAATCTTTGCTTGGCCCTTCAAAGACAATTAAAGGCATATATTACTGGTAAGGCAAATGAAATGAAATTATTCTTACAAGTAACTGAGCCACTGCCAGCTTCTATGTTCAACTCAGCCTGTATCTGAATGCAACACTTGGTAATAGAAAATCATTGTCATTAAAGCTTTGGAGTTCCAAGCACATTTCAGAAGCAATTGGGCAAGATTTCACACGTGTGACTGATGGCCAGTGTGGTAGTCTCTGCACTGTGTCACTGTATGCGAAGAAGCCCTTGGAATTCAGACACAATATTTATTTACCTGCAGTGAACAATCACTGGGGCATTCTTCTCCTCTGCGCTCTGCATGGCCTCTTCCACTTCCAGTACTAGCTGTAGCAGAGGAGGGGCCTGGTCTGGTGTCTTCTGGTCTGGCCAAGACGTGTACCAGTAATGTTTCAGGTTTCTGACTTCTTCTCCTTTCTGCAATCCAGTTAAGACAAACATCACAACAATTTTACAAGAACTTCTCATTGTAAAATTGATGCTGAAACATGGCCTTCCCTTTAAAACTGAGAAGATTAAATCAATCTGCTGGAAACACAAGATGGCTGGGCACACACAGTCCAGAGATTGCTGCAGAACACTGATGAGATCTTTTTGACAGAGGTGGTGGAGGAACCAACAAGGAGAGGTGACCTTGTGTTAAGTACATGAGTGGGCACATGAAGGTTGTGGGCAGCCTTGGCTGCAGTGACCAAGAGATGGTGGAGGATCCTACATGGAAGGAGCAAGGGCAGTAAGTAGGATTACAAGCCTGAACTTTGGAAGACATAACTTTGATTCTTTCAAGGACTTAATTGCAGGAATCCCTTGAGTTAAGGCCCTGGAAGACAGTGAATCTAAAACAGCTTGTTAATATTCAAGCATCACTTCCTCCAAGCTCAGTTTTGGTGCATCCCTCTGGGTAAGAAATCATGCAAAGAGGGTAGGAGCCATGCATGGATGACAATAAGCCACTGGCAAAAAACAAAACAAAACAAAACAAACAAAAACAAAAATAAACCCAAAAAACAAAAAAAAAAATCCAGCAAAACCCAAAAATCTACAAGAAGGAAATTTATGGAATATGGAAAAAGGGACATGGCACTTGGGAGGAATATAGGAATGTTGTCAAAGTATGCAGAGATGTGACAAGAAAGGTTAAAAGCCCATTTGGAATTAAATCTGGCAAGGGATGTCAAGGACAACAAGAAGAGTTTCTTCAGTTGCACCAGTCATCAGTCACAAAAGGAAGAGCAGGGAAAATGTAGCCCCACTGCTGAATGAGGAGGAGAGGTGACCTTGTGTTAAGTACATGAGTGGGCACATGAAGGTTGTGGGCAGCCTTGGCTGCAGTGACCAAGAGATGGTGGAGGATCCTACATGGAAGGAGCAAGGGCAGTAAGTAGGATTACAAGCCTGAACTTTGGAAGACATAACTTTGATTCTTTCAAGGACTTAATTGCAGGAATCCCTTGAGTTAAGGCCCTGGAAGACAGTGAATCTAAAACAGCTTGTTAATATTCAAGCATCACTTCCTCCAAGCTCAGTTTTGGTGCATCCCTCTGGGTAAGAAATCATGCAAAGAGGGTAGGAGCCATGCATGGATGACAATAAGCTTCTGGCAAAAAACAAAACAAAACAAACAAAAAACAAAAATAAACCCAAAAAACAAAAAAAAAAAAAATCCACCAAAACCCAAAAATCTACAAGAACGAAATTTATGGAATATGGAAAAAGGGACATGGCACTTGGGAGGAATATAGGAATGTTGTCAAAGTATGCAGAGATGTGACAAGAAAGGTTAAAAGCCCATTTGGAATTAAATCTGGCAAGGGATGTCAAGGACAACAAGAAGAGTTTCTTCAGTTGCACCAGTCATCAGTCACAAAAGGAAGAGCAGGGAAAATGTAGCCCCACTGCTGAATGAGGTGGGAGCCCTGGTGGTGGAGGATACAGAGAAGGCAGAGTTACTGAACGCCTTCTTTGTTTCAGTCTTCATTGCCAATGCTGGCCCTCAGGAATCCCAGACCCTGAAGGCAAGAAATTCTGGAGAAAAAGACAACTTTCCTTTGGTTGATAAGCACTTGGTTAGAAAGCATTTAGGTAAACCTGAAACCCACAAATCCATGGGCCCCAATGGGATCTATCCATGAGTGCTGAGGGAGCGGGCAGATATTACTGCTAAGTCACTCTCCATCATCTTGGAAAGATCATGGAGAAAAGGGGAGGTGCCTGAAGACTGAAAGAAAGCCAGTGCCCCTCCAGTCTTGAAAAAGATGGCAAGAGGGAGGACCCAGGGGGCTACACACCAGTCAGCATCAGTTCCATCCCTAAAATGGCAATTGAATAGTTCACCCTGCATATCACCTCTAAACATGTAGAGGAAAAGGTTATTGGGAGTATTCAGCATGGATTTTCCAGAGGGCATCAAGCTTGACCAATCTGAAAGGTTCCTGTGACAGGATGACTGGCTGGGTGGATGATGGGAGAGCAGGAATATTGTCCATCTTGACTTCAGCAGGGCTTTTGACCCTGTCTCCTGTAACCTCCTCATGAGGCAAGCTCAAGAAGCATAGGTTAGACGAGAGGACAGTGAGGTGTATTGAGAACTGGCTGAATGGGTTCAGAGGGCTGTGATCTGCAGCAAAGAGCCCAGCTGAAGGCCCATAGCCTGTGGCCTTCCCCTGAGATCAGTACTGGGTTCAGCACTGTTCAGTTTACTCATCAATGACCTGGATGAAGGGGCAGAGCGTACCCTCAGCACTTTTCTTGATGATGATACAAAACTAGGAGGAGTGGCTGACACACCAGAAAGCTGTGCTGCTGTTCCATGAGACCTAGGCAGGCTGGAGAGTTGGACAGAGAGGAACTGATGAAGTTCAACACGGGCAAGTGCAGGGTCCTGCACGTGGAGAAGAATAACCCCAAGCACCAGTACAGTGTGGGGTCTGACCAGCTGGAAAGCAGCCTTGTGGAGAAGGATCTGGTGGACAACGAGCTGCCCACAAGCCAGCAGTGCCCTTGTGGCCAAGGAGGCCAAAGGTATTCTGGGGTGCATAAAGAAAAGCAGTGCTGTCAGGTTGTGAGTGGTGATCCTGCCTCTCTACTCAGCCCTAGAGAGGGGGCACTCGACTCACCTGGAGTGCTGTGTCCAGTTCAGGACTCCCCACCTCAAGAGAGACAAGGCACTACTGGAGAGGGTCCAGTGGAGGGCCATGAAGATGATTAGGACACTGGAGCACTTCACTTAGAGGGAGCTCGAAATTTATGGAATATGGAAAAAGGGACATGGCACTTGGGAGGAATATAGGAATGTTGTCAAAGTATGCAGAGATGTGACAAGAAAGGTTAAAAGCCCATTTGGAATTAAATCTGGCAAGGGATGTCAAGGACAACAAGAAGAGTTTCTTCAGTTGCACCAGTCATCAGTCACAAAAGGAAGAGCAGGGAAAATGTAGCCCCACTGCTGAATGAGGTGGGAGCCCTGGTGGTGGAGGATACAGAGAAGGCAGAGTTACTGAACGCCTTCTTTGTTTCAGTCTTCATTGCCAATGCTGGCCCTCAGGAATCCCAGACCCTGAGGGCAAGAAATTCTGGAGAAAAAGACAACTTTCCTTTGGTTGATAAGCACTTGGTTAGAAAGCATTTAGGTAAACCTGAAACCCACAAATCCATGGGCCCCAATGGGATCTATCCATGAGTGCTGAGGGAGCGGGCAGATATTACTGCTAAGTCACTCTCCATCATCTTGGAAAGATCATGGAGAAAAGGGGAGGTGCCTGAAGACTGAAAGAAAGCCAGTGCCCCTCCAGTCTTGAAAAAGATGGCAAGAGGGAGGACCCAGGGGGCTACACACCAGTCAGCATCAGTTCCATCCCTAAAATGGCAATTGAATAGTTCACCCTGCATATCACCTCTAAACATGTAGAGGAAAAGGTTATTGGGAGTATTCAGCATGGATTTTCCAGAGGGCATCAAGCTTGACCAATCTGAAAGGTTCCTGTGACAGGATGACTGGCTGGGTGGATGATGGGAGAGCAGGAATATTGTCCATCTTGACTTCAGCAGGGCTTTTGACCCTGTCTCCTGTAACCTCCTCATGAGGCAAGCTCAAGAAGCATAGGTTAGACGAGAGGACAGTGAGGTGTATTGAGAACTGGCTGAATGGGTTCAGAGGGCTGTGATCTGCAGCAAAGAGCCCAGCTGAAGGCCCATAGCCTGTGGCCTTCCCCTGAGATCAGTACTGGGTTCAGCACTGTTCAGTTTACTCATCAATGACCTGGATGAAGGGGCAGAGCGTACCCTCAGCACTTTTCTTGATGATGATACAAAACTAGGAGGAGTGGCTGACACACCAGAAAGCTGTGCTGCTGTTCCATGAGACCTAGGCAGGCTGGAGAGTTGGACAGAGAGGAACTGATGAAGTTCAACACGGGCAAGTGCAGGGTCCTGCACGTGGAGAAGAATAACCCCAAGCACCAGTACAGTGTGGGGTCTGACCAGCTGGAAAGCAGCCTTGTGGAGAAGGATCTGGTGGACAACGAGCTGCCCACAAGCCAGCAGTGCCCTTGTAGCCAAGGAGGCCAAAGGTATTCTGGGGTGCATAAAGAAAAGCAGTGCTGTCAGGTTGTGAGTGGTGATCCTGCCTCTCTACTCAGCCCTAGAGAGGGGGCACTCGACTCACCTGGAGTGCTGTGTCCAGTTCAGGACTCCCCACCTCAAGAGAGACAAGGCACTACTGGAGAGGGTCCAGTGGAGGGCCATGAAGATGATTAGGACACTGGAGCACTTCACTTAGAGGGAGCTGGGCCTGTTTAGCTTGGAGGAGACAAAACTGAAAGGGCACCTTATCCAATTCTGTAAGTGTCTGAAGGGAGGGTGTCAATAGGATGGGTCAAGGCACTTTTCTGTAGTGCTTGGCTACAGGACAAGGGCAAGGGGCGCAAACTGAAACACAGAAAATGAACATATTCAGTTCCATCTGAATACAAAGAAAAATTTTTTGAGGGTGACAGAGCATTGAAACAGGCTGTCCAGAGAGTTTGTGGAGTCTTTTTCTCTGGAATATTCAAGACTCACCTGGACACAAGCACATGCAACTTGCTTTAAGGGAACTTGCTGTAGCGGGCAGGTTGGACCAGCTGATTTCCAGTGGTCCCTTCCAACCCCAGCCATTATGTGAATGCTAAATCGAACAGAAATCCAAATGGGAAGCCACATAACACAAAAATCTGGACTTCAAATATCATGACTGCACTTCAGTAAACTGCCTTACAAGAAAAAACCCCAAAAATTCCACCCCCCACAAAGTATTCTGCTCTTTTAGTGCCAAGAGCTGTGTGCAAAACACTCCAGGCGGTCTGTTCCCTCTTGACAGATTCATTCAGCAAAGCCAGAGCTGTGCTTGTGACATAATTGCTTTCATAATGTATTTGACAGACAGAGAGCCAGGAGCCATATCTCTGTCTCTGATAGCTAGATAAATAGATGAGGGAGAGAGATGGGAGCTTATTTTCTATCTCTTCTGACAGACCAACTTATATCGGTCTCCTGTCAATTCTACTCTTCTCTTGGACATGGTGAGAAATTCAGAGGCAGTATGGAAGGTGGGAATTGTATCTAGCTGCAGTCCAGGTCTTTTTGAGAGACACAAATTCTGATTCTCTGTCTCAGCATGGTTATGAATATAGCAAATGTGCTGTTTCCTTTTTGGAGTGCCAAGTAGCACTGTGAGCTTCTGATTTTGTGTGTTCAGAGTGATATCCTTCTGTCTGATTTCTAAAGGTGCAGAATAGTAACATGGTGCCCAGGGAACTGGCCTTACCCTTGCAGCCATTGCACAAGCCAGCTGGCACAGGGCAAAGCAAATGTTTGCAAAAGGTCCAAGAACAGAAGTGTTAGCTTCCACAACCCTCCCTTCAAATCATGGCTGGCTGAGTTGAAGAGAGAAAAAGACAAATATAACTTTTTCTGAAGAACAAGGCACAAAAATCTGAAAATAGTTTCTGTCGTGTATACTCCTAAGCCCCTCCTTATGCTTGTCAGTCACGGGATGCTAAGAGTATTCTGTGGTTGAGCATTTTCCATCCTTCTCTTTGGATGACAGAGCTTTTGCACAGCTTCACAGTGAGCTAGATTGTGAAAGCAATCACGTTAAATCTTTTTCCTTTCTTGAGATGGATTAATTTTCAGATGGATTAGTTTCTCCCTTTGGCTTGGCACACAGTCACAAACACTTGTGAGGGCACATGGGAGATGGAACAAAGGTCAGAACAAGAGAGCTGGACAAAGGGAGGCTTGGCTTCATTAAGATGTTGTTCCATCTTACACTGGGTTTAAAGTGCTCACTGAAGCATAGCCACAGGATCCTTAAGGCTGTGTCTAGCTCACTTCAGGAACAGAGTCTTACTATCACAGCACAAAGTCTGGCCTTAGGTTATTTATCCTAGGGAAAAAATACTTTAAGAGAGCATAACTAGTTATCATGAATAACACTCAAGCTCACTACAGTAAATCTGATCAACACTGCTCTGAAACACAGTTGCTTTTGAATGTGTGACTGTGTGTGAGTCACAGAAGTTATGAACACCCAATTCTTAAATCAGTTGTGAAAAATTATAATAAAAATGTTGTCAATAACACTGAGAGAAAAGTAAAAGTCATCTGAAGAAAAACATGAATCACTACATAAATCATTTAGTTGACAGCAACAGAAAACAGACAAAGTTCTAGTGATGAACTCTGGATGCCTTTATTTTAGTCTACTGTGTTAAAAGTTTTATGCTTCTGCCTGGAGCATCCTGACTTGTGGTTCTGTACACTTCTGCTTTGACTTGAACAAAATATTCTCTACTGATGGTTCCTTGAGAGTGAGAAGACTTGGGAACAGCTCAGAGGAAGCAGGATTTAACAGACAGTTTGAAGTCTACCAACACGTATTCTGTAGCTGAAATCATGACTCAGTGGCTAGATACTGGCAACTTTCTCTGAGAACGGAAAACAAGCCTTGCTTCTAGCTTGACATTTTTCTAAATTCCCAAAACCTGACAAATCTTATCCCCTATATGGAGAGAAAAATGACAGTCGACTCTATAAAGCATGTAGTAATAACACGTTTCTGAACACTCCTGTTTAAGGGCAAACTGAAGTCAATTCATGGCTTTTCCAGTTTTCACTACCAAGTCACTTAATGTATGCATGGCTCAGAGCTGCTGCTCCACTACTGCCATTAAATGGCAAATGTACAGCTCTAGGGAAAGGTAACTTAAATGGAATCTTTATTTCAGCTCTAGAACTCAGCAGTTCACATCCTGACATTTCGGGGGTGAAGGGAAGAGATATTGACCCACTAGTACTGAAAACAAAAACCACTGTCTAACTGAAAAGCAAAACCAGATGAGCTGCAAGTCTGCAACACACAGATATTCTTCACTTCCCACTTGTCAGGGAGTGTGATTTTCTCCTTGCTGCCTTTGCCAAAAGCATGAGTGACAGACTTTCTACACTCTGAATCCAGACATGGGATGTCATATGCTGGCTTTTTGCCCATTAGCATATGGCTGAAGAGACTTGAAACTGGTTGGATAAAAGTGGAGTTTTTCCAGCTTGAGAAGAACTTGTCATGTTATACTGAGGCCGGGGTAGATCTGGCAGATGAAAGACGTATGAAGTTTATGTAAACAGACTGTTACTAAAACATGTAGCCTGATATTCTAGAACCTAGCAATGAAAAGAGTTGTAAAATAGGACTCTGGTACTTTAAGTAGTATCTAAGTGCTTAAAAAATTAAACCAGTGCTAAAACTTTCTATCCACAAGATGAGAGAATGGTTACTGGTATATAGAACTACCCTTACAAAGTAAGAAGCTCTCTGTGAGTTGACACTTCATTTTCACTGATCAATGAACCCGGAGGACGAAAGCACAGAATGAGTCACTGGTTTCTTACCCATTGAACCCCATACTACTGCAACTGGCCTGGTGGCTTTCAGACTGTACACATGCAGCCTAAACCTCTGACTGCTTACTTTCCTGTAACTTTCATTCTGGTGAACAGGGCAAAGCTATGATTACTTCAGTAATGAAAAGTGGTGTTTTTTTCCAGCACTACACTGTGCAGAAGCTTTCTACACAACTCCCCCTGAACATCTGCATTTATAGGTTTAGACAGCTAAGCTACTGTAAGTACATTGGAATGATTTACCTTTAGGGTGATGAGCCTTAAACGGTAATCGTCTGCTTGTATGACTCTGTTAACTGTGATTTCTATTCCTTCATAGGTGACCTGTTCCTCAGGCCAATATTCTGTGCATTTCTGTGTGCAATATAAAACAAATCCAGTTAAGCAGGTATCAAGGGAGGCTCGGCTTTTTTCTCCTCTGAAATTGAATACAGCACATGCATAGATGAATAGGAATAAATTTCATTTCTATAATAAGTACAAGCTTTCACTTACTAAACAGGGACCACATTTCAGCTGATTTTTGCTGCATCCATAATAGCCTGATTGCTTGATTAAAAATGCACAAATCAAGTAATTACTAACCAATGCTTTTAAATACACACATCCTTATTTATCTTTATGCAACTGATGTGCATTTTGAAGGTTCATTAGAGAGACCGGTGGCAATGTGCTTGTGTTTTTAAATTCATCTTTTTCTTGAGATAATAATGATTAGTATAATATACACTAGTTACCAATATATCTGTGCTGCATATATACTGATGTAGAAACACAAAATACAGATTCTCTATTTTTTATAATGGCTCAATGCTCTCTGAATATAAAATGATCATTTGCATATGTTTTTGCACAAAATAACATGACTGGGGATGATTGGGAAAATAGATTATGTACCAAAATCCACTTAAGAATGTCAGTGAGAATCTTTCAAAGATAGGGAACTAAAAGGCAGCAGTAGCTGTGAGAGGGATTGGACTACTACATTTGATTTTGCCAAAAACCAGTAAGAGATACAGCCAAGACAACCTAACACTTGGAAACACAGAAACTGTAGTCCATTTGGAGATCTACTCTGTGGTACTGAAACACTACAGAGGAGCCAGTGCAAATTTGTAGGTCCCTCTAATCCTGGAAGAAGAGCTAAAAAAGACAGTGGTTTTGTATTCAGTTTCTCTAAATTAATCAATATACAAAGGCAGAGACAGGCATTTCAATATGGTACACAAATTAGTTCATGGACAAGGAATGACATGAATCAGGCAGAGTCAGAGAAAAAGGCTGCCTTGTGATAATGCAAGAAGCTGGGTTTCCTGCCTAGGGCTAGGGTTAGGGTTAAGCCTAGGGTGAGGGTTTTGAAAACCACAAAGCCCAGGGCTCCAGGCACACTGCAGCTGCAAAGGGCATCCCAAGGGGAACACAAAACTGCCACAACATGCCTTCCTTCACAGCTTTTTCCCTGGAGCCACTCCCAGTCCTAGGCTGCGTTTCCTGTTATTATCACAGGGGAGCAGGTATCTGCTATTCAACAAACCTCAGTAAAGATGATGCTTGTAAGATTCTGCTTTTACACAGCTGTACACAATCTTGGAGGAAACAAGTTGAATAATTTTTGTCTCCCCCACCGAACGTAATTCCACTTGTGATGGAAGACTAACAACAGAAAAGTACCTTGCAAAGTTACTGAGTCAAAATTTTTGTGTGGGAGAATCTGTGTTGTTCCATCTGCAGAGTACATCAGTTAATAACCCACTGGGAGCGTGGCCCACTGTGTCTCTGTAAAGTTATTTATGCAGATTGTGTTTTTCTTCCTTTACTCATAAACTGCAGAATCCACTGCAAAAATTGTCAAGAGCACTACCAGCTATCAATAGCACAGACACTGCTCTGCTTAAAGGAGTGGAGTAAGATTGCCCACTCATTTCTGGGGCTGTCTATCAGTTCAGATTAGAAGTGACAGAGGGCTGAGGTGCAGAGCTTTTAATACTCACATTAGTGAAGCCATTGCACTGAGGAAGAATACAAAGTCTCTCTTACTAGCATCATTGCTGAACAAAACTTCTGGGTTTGAAATTATGTACTTTGAGTCCTGTTATTTATCTATTAATAGAAGTGTTGCAGATAAATGGAGGGACTATAGAAGACGTTTACATGAAATGGTCTTGTATTTTTGGCTAAGATTGCTGTCATTGATACATTTTTGACACAAAATGTATCAGGAAAGACTCAGCAGCTCTGTTATGATATAGAGGCTGTAGCAAGCTCCAGTTCTATAGTGCATCAGCACTGCAGTGAACTGCTTCCCAAGACTGGTAAGAGGGCTGAAACACTTGGTCAGTACAGGTAGGAGGCAATCCAGACATGAAGGTTATTTTGCCTTCCTGTTATACAATCTTGTAATGAAAACTATAGTAGAAGAACATTTCAGACATGTCATTCAGGACCAGCATTTCTTCTGTATCTTCTTTAAACCTCAAAGTCTGCAAAAGATTCTGGTGTGCTGACTATGTCACAACATTTTAATGTGCCAGAAAATGGCAACTTTGATTAATGAGCAAGTTATTGCTTCAGTGCTGCTGCTCAGATACAAGCAGGTGCAAATTTAAAACCTGAGTTAAAGCATTCAGATCAGCAACATAATTTGTTGTTTTGCATCAGCAACCCTTGACAGGATGTTTCCAATGAGCCAGCTGTAATAACTGACCATTTTTAACTTGCAAAGCATCATAATTCTGTGTCAGTCTTGTTCATGTCTTTTTTCAATGAAGTTGAAAAAACGACATGAACATATTTACTTTATATCTATGAAAAGCTAAAGGTTTGTGCACGTGCATGATTGAGGGCACTAAGCTTCCAGCTAGCAGATAAGCCATTACAACTCTGTCTGTATGCTGGATGTATGCCTGTATTCTTTGGCTTCTAAGCATCTAAAGCTTCTTCTCCAAACAAAAATCTCTAACCTAAATTACTAATCTGTTCTCAAGGAAAAGTCTGACACGCAATGGTTCTGCAGCTTCAGAAACAACATTTGGATATCTCCACCCAGCCTTGCTGCTTAATGGCGGAGGAGGATGCAGAGTCCAACACATGCCCACACCACTTTCTCACATCTTACACTGCCAGTAAAGGCAGATGTGAGCTCAGCTACCTGGCTGTGAGCTGAAGCCCAGGCACAAAGTTCTTGCAACGCTGCTACGGGGGAAAGATTTCAGCAGGTAAGTAATGAATAGCTGGAGTGCTGCAGTATTACAAACTGCAAAAAAAAGAAGAATTCACTTTATGTGGATTAGCACAAACATCACTACAGTTTAATTTATGGAAGTAATTTATGGAACTAAAAAATGGTGGCAAATAGAAAATTTCAGCATCTTAATTTCAGTATTTCATAAGCATTCCCTAGACACATTCAGGGGAAGGTCCACAATACCCAAGTCAGTTCTAGTTGTTGATTATCATACAGAAATCAGGTACTTCCTCAATGAAATGTGCATGTAAATATCAAACTGTAATAAATGCAAGATAAAGCAGCAGCAACTCTACTGATTCAAGATATTCAGCCTTAGCAGTTATGGGGTACTATTGCTTTTGATTCCTTCAGAAAGAACTTCATAGGCTGCCTGCAGATAGAGCTGGGTAAGGAGGGGTTTCAGGTCAGCTGGGAGAGGAAAATGGCAAAACCAACAGCAGGAGAAGTCAGACAGCAAAACAGGACTCACAGTAAACTGAAGCGAAGGAGAAGCCCACATCTTCTCTGAGCCTGAAGAATTTAATGCTGGCTCTGACTGCACAGGCCACTGAACTAACTTCTGTTTGCTGGCTTAGTGTCTATGCTGAAAATAACTGTTGGAGTAGAGATAAAAATATAGACTGGATGTAACAGCATTACCTCATTCATCTCTTCTATATTGGTAATCATGACAATGATGGGAGAACGCTCCTGCCACACCATTCTCCAGAAGTCAGTGACAGTATTTACTATCGGTCCCTGAGTAGCAATGTATACCTTTTCCTCTCCTCCATAGCCCTGCCAACAAAAGAACAAGAGATCAGCTTTAACAGGGGTGTCCACCATAACCTTGAAGGTTTGCTCTCAAAAAACCAGAGAGCTATCCTGGATGAAATGCTGACTCCATGGTACCAGCTCTCTTCTCCATCTCTCTCCTGCACATGTGCACATGGAGTAAAGGCACAGTACAGACTCACGTAATTCCAGCAAAGAGTGCCCTACAGACTTGAGGTGACTCTGACTAGGTCATGAGCCTTATTCAGGCTGATTATCCAGTGCCTTGGTTAGGCTAGCTGACAAGGAATTTTGCATCAAGAACTGCAGAAGTATGTTTCTTTCTAGTCTGAATCTGTACAGGTGCACTTTGAGATTTGCATTTCAGCTAATGTAAGCAGGAGAGAAGAGCAATCAGATCAGCTAGAAGGCTGAATTTAAAAGCCAGTGTGTGTTGCAGTTCTGTTTACATTAACAGAGGCTGAGCAGACACACTGGGCTATGGAGCTCTTACCCTGATGTAGTTAGCATTGATGTAAGAGCTGAGGGGGTCGTCCTGATCAGCTGAGGTAAGGCACACTCTGCTGTGAGGATCTGAAAGGTGTAAGGAGATAAGGAATAGTTTATCAGAGGAAGGAGACACACAAGATTATTTAGTAGAGCAAGACATTGACATGCATTCATGGCCATCATAGCAGATGTGAGTGGCCTTAGAAAACCCCCATGTTAAGACCATTAAAAAAGGGAAAAGATGGTTGGGGTAATTTGCAGCCTTCTGACAGTTCCATCCACTTTCTGAATCCTGCCTTAATTGGTCCTGAGTCAGTGCCTCAGCATGACTCTGGAAAAGCAGTTTTCTGCTACAGGAAATTATTTCTCAATCTGTTAGGTCAACAGACTCATTCTGGCTTCAAAGACATTAGAATATTGTTTGTGAAATGATAGCAAAGAGCTTTTCTACCAAAACATAAACATGCATTTCTTGCACCCAGGCAAGCCAGATGACAACAACTCCTCCCCAGTTTCATCTTGCAATGAACCACACTCCAAGATGTTCTATTAACAAATATAATGGCTATAGAGAAATTAAAGAACATTAACAGTCTCTTGCATTTTAAGTCTCTTCAGTACTTGAGTCTCCTTCATTGAGGCTGTTTATGAAGCATTATTCTTGTTCTAATAAGATGACAAAAGAAAACATTATTCCACTTAAGAAGTTCAGTCCAATTCCTACAGAAGTCAATGGCTGCTTCACTGATTTTAATGGGCCCACATTCATCCACTTTGACCAGTGCTACCCAGTTCTTTACCACTGACAAGAAACATCCTCCCGACAGAGGCCTCAGCAAACAGCAACAGTGTATATGACCAAGATAATATAAAAAACAAACCACAGGTGCCTTTTTCATAAAAAAAGTTCAGTAGGCTTAGAAAGAAGAACAAAATAAAATTTACGCAAAAATTGTGCTTTATCCAGTATCATATTAAGGATAAAGTACACAGTGATTTTCACAGTACTACAAACACAGAGTCAGCATGAAATGCTGTCCTCCAACAGACCAGATTCATGTTTCCTGGGATCTTTGGCTTTGAAGTGTAAAAAGAAGGTAGGTCTCCTTTCTACCCCTCTTCACTGCCAGCACCAAGCCTTGTGAAATGGAGGCAGTGGGACAAGAGTGAGCACTCAGCCCTTACCTTTCCTCAGGAATACCAAGCCATCATGTGGCCACAGTCAGGGACAAAGTTGTTAAAAGTTCATTCAGAAAAAAAAGCTCAGATCATAACAAGGCCAGAATAAAGTTAATAACATTAGAGAGATGGTTGGGTGAAAGAATTATCTGAGATGAAGAGGTCAAAGTAACAACAGTGGCTGCTGGCAGATACCCATATGGCTCAGATGAAGAAATACCAAATTCAGAATATACACTTGGAGATCTGGCACCTTGGGCATCTGAAATCAATATTCACTTTTGCAATCTTCCCGTTGCAGCAAAACCAGCAAATTAATACTTGAATGAATCACCTCAACCATTAGCACAGCAATAGTGAAAAGCTGTTAAATGCTTTTACACTTCTGGTCTGAGGTAGAGTACAAAGCCATTAAAAGAGTTTCACACTTTTCATCAGGCTGCAGTTGCTGGAGTTTGAAGACATTAAAAGAATCTTTTTTAAAACCATTTTTCCATCTGGATTCATTGACTGTTAGGTATAGCTGAGGACATTTTTGACTTCACTGCACTTATATTTGCTAACCTGACATTTGACATTTTGCAAAAGACTACTGTAGTGGTGATACCATCTTCCAACAACAGCTTAGAAGGGGAAAAAAAAAGGCATGACATCCAATTGCATCACTTTTCAAAATATCTTAAAGTATGAGAGAGAGAAAAATGATGACGCTTGTAAAAATTTGTACCAAATTGTTTCTCAAAACTCCTACCTCTGCCTACAAATAAAACTGTGTAATGGAAAAGAAAAATACTTTTCTGTGTCATCTTAATGCTATCAGGCCAGTTCCCAATATTCTCAGTCTGCATTTGAAAAAACGTCAGTCAGGAAAATAATGCTGCTAGATTTTGGTCTTTCGAAAGAAATTTAATCTAGTAAATCACTAAGTAATATCTTAATAGACCAAGTTCTTGGGTATAACTTTTAAGCAGCACCAAATGATGAAATTCTAATAACTAAAAAACCTACGTTTCCCTGAGGATCAGCAGCATTTTCTTCATGCTCTGTACCTCTTTGGAAATCTGATTTATGCTTTGAGGCCATGCTGCTGCTCCATAAACATGGCTTTTGGACAATACATTGTGGTGATGGTACACTTCATGCACTCTGGGAAGGAAAATGCAAAGCCCTCCAGCCAGTGGAATAAACCACACTGCCTCAATGACTTAAAAAGCAGAAACTTACTTGGGAGAATTGTTTTGTAGCGATTCTTACGCACTAGGCCTGGAATATCATATTCCTTTGGATCAACAAAGTTCATTGGAATTTCCTGTTAAAAAAAAAGAAAAACAAGAAACCCATGAAAACATAAGAGACAGTCAGTAGTATTATTAGATTCACAGGAGGTATAAAAACCCCAAGCCGATTATGTCCTCCTTGTGAGGGAGGCAAAGTGATGAAGTCAGCTGGGACATACTGTACAGTACCTCCAGCAACTTATCACCAAAGTATGATTGACATTTCCTTTTTCTGCCACTGGCTTTCTTTTCTGAAATCCTTCATGTGAAAATGCTCCTAGTGACTAATTCATTGAGTAACATGCATGACATATTCACTCCTAATATTATTAGAACTGAATTGCAAGTGTAGGCACTGAGCAATGCAAGAGGTGGAACGCAAGTCACTGCTCCAAGAAGATGGACCATCCTTTCTGACTCACATCGCTTCCTCTCTGAGGGTGGAAGTTAATAATTTGCTGGGGACTTGCACCAGCAACAAAGTATGACACACATGATGACAGGCTGTTGTGCTGCCCTGACTCCATGGGGCTGCGGGAGCGTCACTGCTTTGCTCATCGTGCTGCCAAGCTCCATGGAAAAGGGCAGCAAAGGGGTATTTGGGGATTGCCTGCACTCTCTATCCCTGATGCAAAGAACACACAAAGACGGAGGGACTTCCTATTCCCCACTGCCCATCCCGTGCAATAAGGGGCTAATGCCAGGTGGGAACAAACAGAAACCTTCCAGCAGCTGGAGTAGGAAGCCAGACAAAGAGAAGGGATATGCTAACCAGGCTTAGCAGAGATATGGCTCACAGGAACCAGGAGGCAGAGCTGGTCATCCCAGCTGCAGCTGGATTTGAGAGACCACTACAGGACAGACTGGAAACAGGAATCAGGGTTGAGTAAGGCAAGTAAGGGAAAAATTTAAGATGAGCAGAGCTATGGACTACAGAATCAGAGACTTATTAAGGCTGAAAATGACCTCTAAGATCATTGAGTCAAACCTTTCACCTAGCACCTCCATGTTGACTGCTAAGCCATGTCCCTTAGTGCCACATACACATGTTTACAAACACTTTCATGGATGGTGATTCTACCACTTCCTCAGGCAGCCTGTTCCAGTGCTTCATCCTTTCAGTGAATAATTTTTTCCTAATATCCAATCTAAACCTGCCCTGGAGCAACTTGAGGTCAGTTCTGGAACCTTAGAAAAGACTATCTACAATCCACCACTTACAAAGCACTTAGCACACTGTTGGCTTTAACCAGAGGCAAATAAGGACAAAAATGTTTTGTTGAAGTAATTTCCTACCAATTTTGAGAACTGCATAGGAACAAAATCTTCATATTTTTCTCAATTGTTCCTTGGTATTTAGTCAACCCAAATTAAACTCTTCCTGAGCCAAGCTCCATGGGCTGTTTTGGGGTCTTAAGTCATTCACCACACAAGCCAATTCTTGGTGAAATCAACAGGACTGCTGTATGAGTAAAAACTCTAAATCTTGTACGAATTTCAAGACTTAGCCCTGTTAATGTGCTCCCTGGCTTTTCTTGCAAAATGAAACAACTTCTTGCTTCATCTGGGCTTTGGACTTTGAAAACCAAGTAGGTTAGACAGAGTGAAAACACATGATGAAGAGCTAGCTGGTGATAACTGTTTCATAAAAAAAGACCTAGTTTACAATTTTTAATTACAGATATGACATTGATTGCACAGCATTTTGTGCTCTTTCAGTTTTCATTAGAGAATGAAAATAGTTTGGGATGGCTCGGCTGCTGGATGATTCCATGAACATCAGGAAGCCTAATTCAAAATCTCTCAGACAAATGAAGTGTATTTTTTCCTACATCTAACATTATTTTCTTTGCTTGAAAGCTACAGAGTAGCTGAAAGATTGGTGAAATTGTATGTGGACTAGTCCAGCAGTCCAGACACCAAGCGGACATTCCTTCCCTAAAAGAACAATAGATACTTTACTTTAAAAGGAACAGGGTTTTGCCTACACAAAAGCTGCTTTCCTTCAACTTGTACAGTACTAAAGGAATTAAGGACCACAGATACCTTGTATTCTACTTTAAACCAGAATCCCAGAGTATCCCTCTGTTCTCATAAATGCAAAAAACCCCCTGAAACTGTGCAAGGAGGGAGGACAGCAAATGATAATCAGAGTGGTCTTTCCTTTTCAGACACTTGGAGGTCACAAAGAGGACAGGCTGAAAGGGCTGTAATGTTGCAAAACAATCTTCCTCTGCTCTGCTGAGATTTCAGTTTAAGAGAATATTTGACATGGCAGTCTTAACTTCAGAAGTTTACAACTAGTGAATTATTTTTGTGCAGAAAAAAACCCCAGTAATACACTCTGAAGTTCCTGCTGAATGACAGAGCCACACTGTGTTTTAGGTAACCAGGGAACATTTAGATTTGGAAAATAGCTACACATTAAGCATTCAACAGCAAAGAGGGTGGATTAGGACTAATTTCATCTTTAGGGCAACTCCAGACACATTTCAACAAGTTATGCTTATAGCAAATGACGCTTTCCTTCTGAACTCCAGTGATTGTTTTGTTGCTGTTGTTAAAAAGGCAATATACATCAGAAAAAAAAACCAACCTAAATCTTGTGAAACAAAGACTTGTTGTTGTTGGTTTTGCTAGAACCAATTCTATAGTTTTTAAGTGACAATACTACTGAAAGCTTTCAGACATTGTAATTTAAAGGAATGATAAATTTGGGAATTGCATTAAATGCTTCACTGACAAAAGTGGAGTTTGCGTGTACTACTTTTAGACTGGCAGAAAATAATACCAAGGTCTTCTATGGAGAGACAACACCCCATTTTTATTGATGCTCCTAGAAGACAGAGGCTAGACACTCACAAAGAACTCTGCCTGGAGTATGAAAGGATCCAGTGCTTTCTTGTGCAGCTCCTCTTCAGTCAGGATGTTCGAGGCCGTTTGGAGGTATTCCCGGGCTGACTGTTCCCGTGGAGACATGACATAGCCAAAGCCTTGCTCAGAGCAGCCTGGTGTGCACATATCCAGTGTGAGTGAAACATTTGAACCTCTCCTGCAAAACAGAGCAGTCAAAGTTTGCTTGCAACAGACTCAACGCTGCCAGCAATGACAGATGAACAGCTTCATGAAATCATCCAGCTGGTTCAGATGGGGACATTTTGGTCACTACCTGTAAGAAAATGGGTGATGCTTCTTGTGTGGACAAGACCAGAGGACGATTTTGTAGACTGAAACATCACTGGGGTAAGATTGTGGGATAAACTACCAGTTCAACTTTAATAGAGATACAAAAAGCCAACCCACTGCAGTGAATAATTTTTCTATCTGAAAAATGTTCTTTCCACAACTGTACATCATAAGAAGGGTAAAATGAAGGTCCCAATACTTTAACAGTCACATTATAAACATATACTCTTAAGTGTAGAATTTTTTGTGTTAGTTAGCCACACAACAAACCAAAGCAGTCAAAATGCCTAATATGAATAAAGTTTTAAAACACTTCTGAGCTTCTGTTAGACAAAAGTAAGATTCAAAAGCTGTCAGTGAATCTATATTTAAATATCTTTAACATAATAATAAAGCCACACAATATCATGATTACTAGGTAAAGGTTCTATACATTTGCACAGTAAACCTATTTTTGATGAAACTTGACTCAAAAAATTTAGTTAGAGGGTGTGTGCAGGAGCTATTAAAAACCATGTAGGCACGCAGGCACGACCAACTCACAGAGAGGACAGAAGTCATCACTTGGATCACAGCCCTTTCCTGGACTCAGGATTTGGTCCAAAAGAATTTGCAGCCAGCCTCCTGCTATAATTCACAGCCACGGGGAAATGCCACCAGTGGCAGACACAGAATCTTTAGTGACACCTTTCAAAGGATTTCACTTCACCATCCTGTGTGCTATTAAACAGCTACCACATTTCTCCCCCAGAAAAGATGCATTTGTAGTTCTTCAGCATGAGGAAATGAGATTATTTCTTTTTCAGCAACATTCAGTGGTGCTTGAATTTAGCTGCTGACCACCCTTTTAATTGCAGAGGTGGTTAAAGAATGAGAGGGAAGTAAGAGAAAAGCAGAACGGATGCCAACGAGGCACAGGTAGGTAACACAACAGCAAACAAAGGAGAAGTGACCGATGTGTAATGTAAGTGAATTTGTCAGGGCACAGCTCAAACCTGAAATGATGTCTGCCTTCTCAAGGACATGTGTATGTTGAAAACAAGTTTATATCTTAAGTGTTCACATTGTACCTAGTTTGAGAACTTCAAGAAATGGCTTTCACTGTCCCACTTCTAGTTATTTGACAGGTTTTTCATTGTAATTCATTACTTTAACCAATTGATTATTCTCCAAGCAATACTCCCCAATTCTCTTGATACAGTGTCTTTCACGTAGGATAGCAGTCACCTGAGGAGAAATGTCACATCTTTAAAGTGACAGAAATGGAATGAAATCAGGGATAGTGAAGAACACAAAAACTCACATATTTCAAGCCCAATCTTGCCTACAATGAAAAACCAACAAAGCAGCAGCTTCAGGGACAAGCCCCAGAAGTTACTGTGATCTCATATAAAGGGAGACTAAAACAATAAAAGGTATAAAATTTTAGGACAATGTTATAACAAACCATAAAGCAATAAAAACCATTCTAAACCCACAGGAGTGCAAATTGAAAGCCTCTTCTGTAACACTCCCTTTTACTGCATCCTGAGGAGCTTCAGAAAATCAGCTGTTGTATTCTTAAAATCTATGTTTTGTCCTTTGTTTTAAGCTTTAGAGATGAGAATTAACTATAGTTAGCACTCCAATTAAGCTTGAAAAACGAGAAAAAAAGAAAGGTGATACTTTGCTATGCTGGGCCCCTCAATAACTTCATTCTTATTCATAACATTGTCACTTTTGCAGAATTTCTTCACAGGAATTCTATCATCAAGACCTTTGTTCTGTTTCACTAAGACAACTGAAAGGACACAAAACAAAAAGATTTTCCTTTAGTCTTGAAACTGCCCTTTCCTAGCTGTGAACCTCTTTGAGAAGCTCCTAACTTGCCAGAGAAACTCCTCTTTTCAAGATGCCCTTATGGTTCAAGTGGTGAACACCAGCTCACCCCAAAGTTTCAGTACTGGGTTCATTTGAATAATTCATTTACTTCTGGATTAACTCATTTATATGAAGAATATTGAAGACTGTCACTTTTTCTATGGTGTGCTTTTGGAGAAAAGACTAGTTCTCCAGTACAAGTGACTGGGGGAAAAAAAATTCAACAAGACCCACCACTTTCAGAGGTAAAAGCTTTTACTGCTCTATAGGGGATTTCATGCAATGCAGGTGCTGTCTTGAAGAATGGTGAGAGAGTGATCAAACACAAATAGATGTATTCAATGGAAAGAAATGATGCTTTAGAACAGCACTTGTTGACAGATGTCCAGAAACTGTGTGCTGTTTAAGTAACATGCTTGTATTTATGACTGGACTGAAAACAGGACAGGAAATAAAGCAGGTGCTTGACTTCACAACCACATTTGAAAGTGACATTCACAAAGGCAATAAAGCTTCCTACCAGGCACAGAACTCCTAAACCTACAAAATCTGTGAGCAGACTTTTCCCTATTAGTCACATCTACCCTACCTTTCTTGCAAGCCCACGGATTTAACCGTCAGAGTAGCTGGGTCTGTCTCCGCTTTAATGTCCATGACGCAGTCAAAGACTGGAGTCTCTGGTACGGGATCCAGATCTAGAAAGTCATCTTCATTTTTATCCTCTGTCCACTCTGAGTACGTGAAGGAAGGCTGCCGGCTCACAGACTGCCGTCTGTCCTCTTGCAGTGGAAAGGGGGGGTCTGGTGGGGCTCTGAGGAGGTGCCAAAACTGGAGGAAAGAAACATTTTAAAAAGTTGCTGCTTGTAGCCAGCCCTTCCATATAGCCTAGGGCAAGGGTCTTTAGGGCAGCATTCCAGCTATCTGTATTAGAATTGGAGAGTACTGAAGAGAACAGGAATGTTCCATGCAGGAGCGGCTTTGTGGTGTGTGTTGCAAGGATTCACATCTACCCATTCAAACCTGCTTTCAGCCACAGAGGTTTCCACAGAGCTAGCCAGGCTTAACTCAGGGATACAGTGGAAGTGGAATGTGCTTGTGACCATCATATGCACGCCAACATGATACCACTGTCCTTTTGTTCAGTTTCTTATCCTTCCCAGGCTTGTTTACAAAACAAAAATCCACTATAGTATTCTACAAATCATACCTCTCCTGATTTAATGGCTTTCCATCTGAAATTTACATATAGCTGTCTTAAGTTAATATAATTGAGCTGAACATCTTTAATAACCAGGCACTGTACCCCAAATCTATGCATAAACTCATTATTTGAATAGGCGTCAATTATGATGTACCTGATCCTGGGGCTCAAAATGCCTGTATCAGTTTTTGGCCAGGGGACAGACTGTGCTATAATCTAATTATCTGATTTGAATATGGTATGAACATTAAATAATGAATCCTGTGAAGTTTTAAGACACAACTGCAATATGAAAGTTTATATTACAAATTAACAAAATTTGGTTTGAAATTGCATGAAACTAAACAATTTCAGAACCATATCAGTTTGCACAGATGCTGTGACAGACTAGATGATTTGTAAATCAGATCAGTAGACTTCAAACGCTCCACACAGCTTCTAGTAAAAAATTCAAGTCCACCTCTGAATTCCAGGATCTGGAACCTTAGGCCAACTTCATCCATCTAGCATAGAACTAGGAGTAGTATCACTCATACTAATGCCATACAAACTGTACTTAATTGTCACGCATCCTTTTGAGACTAAGAACACATTTTCCACAGTAAAAGCCTCTTCTGTCATCTTCTTATGTGGTTTTCAAATGACCAGTTGAATTTTAAAAATTGCCACTAAAAAAGGTCAGATTTCTCTTCCTAGGCTACTAAAACACATAAGGATGTCATGCAGGACAGTGCCAATTTCAACACTGGAAAAGAAGGGCTTGGTCATAAAAGCACTCTCAAAGGAATAATCTTTCAAGGTCTCTTCTAGGCAGCACATGGCTTAAAATCAATTTTAAGTAGAGAGAGGGAGAGAGAGAGATAACTCAGCTGAGACAAAAGGGAAAATAAAGAAAACTGTTTTCATGCAACAATCTCTTGTCCACCAGGCTAGGATTTTAGAAACCCTGCCTGGTCCAATCACCATTTTCAATGTTCTGCCAGTGACTATGTTATACCTTACTCTGCAAATACTGATAAAAGCAGATGTTTTCAAATTTGCAAATTGCAAAGCAGCATGACCTCAGACATCTGAGAGGAAGGTGACAGGTAGGAAGGGACAAGGCTCATGTGCTCTCTCTAAACAGTCTCTAGCTCCTAATGTCCATGTCAGAGAGAACATACTGGGCAAGATGGACCGCGGATCAGAACTCACAGGACACTTTTATACTCTGTGGCCCAGCAATTTATCCACAGAGTAGGGTGACACAGAGTGACATTTGTGCCTCTACTCTAGCTAAAAAAGTCTTAGCACAGCCCACAGGAATAAAAACCAGTGCAAACTTGCCAACATGAAAACTGTTAGAAAATGTTTTCTATACACAAATTTTAACCAACACAAAAATGGGCCAAGTCTACTTTAATCTATAGTGGTAGACTTGCTCCTGTTCACTTGAAAGGAGTTCACATGCAAAACTGTCCAAAGAGAGATCAGAATTTTTGGCCATGGAGAGCTTTCATTTAACTTTATCTTCTGTGCTAAGAATGGGTCAGCAATAAATGTTTTTGTGCACTGAGAAATAGCTGAATATGCTAAGATCACATCCCTGCTATTCAGATTTTCAGTCCAGAATGTTCTGCTGCAAATTTGTAATTTATCTGGAGCTCATACAGTTCTTGAGAATTCTTAGGTGTCTTTTTCTTTTTAATTTTGCAATAACAGAATTACCAAAAGTTTATTTTTGAGGACGAAATTAATCTGAATAAGGTACAGCAGCATCAAAAACCCAGAAAATTGCATAAACCTCACTAAGCTCCTTGCCTACATGAATGATCACAATAATGGAGGCATTAACTATAATTGCTTTGCCTTGTGAATGATTTTTAGAAAGTCTATTTTCCTGACACATTAAACAGAAAATTTTGCCACTGTGCTGCCTCTGAGTGAACTTATCCATGGCATATAATATGACATTACTTCTTAGAAGGGAGTGTGGCCAGCAAATCAAAGGAAGCATTCCCTTCTCCTTGGCAGTGATGGAACTGCACCTTGAATACTGTCTAAAAATTTAGTTTCCCCAGTTTAAGACAAATATGGACAAACTGGAGTGGTCCCAGTAGAGGGTTTCAAAGGAGGTCAAGGGTCTAGGGTGCAGGAAGAAGGTGGAGGGAATTGGGCTTGTTCAGCCTGGCAAAGAGGAGGCTGAGGTGATCCAACAGTGGCCTGCAACTACTTGAAAGGCAGCTCCAGAGATGCAGCCAGACATTTCTTGGTAGTATCAGCTGATACCACAAGGGACAATGGCCACAAGCCTGCAGAAATTCAGCCCAGACATTTTTGTGAAATTCAGATGAGATACAAGGAAGCATCTCTTCCCCAAAAGTGCTACATGACTGTGGCACAGGCACACACAGAGAGATTACAAACCTTCCTTCCCTGAAGGTTTTCAACAGCTGAGTGGAAAATTTCATGGCTGACTTTACCAAGTGTTGACAACAGCCCAGCTCCAAGCAGGATGTTAGACTAGCAATCTCTGCCCACCTACAGTCCCATGATTCTGGGATGTATTTCATTATGTTGTCCATCACTCAAGCAGCATGTACACAGCACAGCTTCAACTTCCTAAGCTACCTGGAGTGCACCTCTGAAAGGACAGGAGGTGATGCTCTGCCTGCATGTTCAGTAGCTGCATTTCCACTCTCAGAGAACAGCACAGAGGGGTTTGAAAAGCCACATTCAGTTAGAGCTCCCTGACAAGACAGAGCTCTCCATAGCTCTCCCATCTAGCACAAAACTTCGTGCCAGTTACACAATCCATGGAGAAACACAACACACTGCTGCTCCCCAACAGCTGACAGCTAACTAGACTAATTGTAGTCATGCCACTTAAGCTTGTTCTGCAGCTGGGGCCTTGGTCTACATCTAACAGGACTTCAGAAGAACAGTGGCAGTCTGGAACAGCTCCTTCTGCCATTGCAATCAATGGATGATGGTCCTGTTAATGGACACATCCCTTCTACTTCAGTAGAAATGGTTTGCCCATCTGTGGAAAAACTATTTTTATACACCATTCTACTCCAGTGCAATCCCCAATTCATCAAGAAATTGAGTAAGGCTAATTCCTCTACATAAAGCAGGCAGATAATTATATAGAAACAGCCCCAAAAATGATGCTTTACAATCAACTTGGGCACAACACCAACAACGTTTGTTAAATAAGACATCTTATAAAAACTCAGAAAAAGGGCATGAATACAGTTTGTGCTGTATCGTAACTTACCAGAGATCCTACAAATAGCAGTCCTAGAGAAGCCAAAGACAGCAGGATGTATGAAACCACAACACTCCCAACTGTAGTCAGGCTCTGTGGGACAACAGAATAGACAATAATTCATGAAGTATTTAGGGGCACAGTACAGTGTCTGCATGTTCTTGGCCAAGTGTGTATTATTTCCCTTGAAGATATACTGATATCATACTCACCTGTGGAAAAGCTGCCATCAGCACCAAAAAACAAAAAAGCTAGGCTTTGGAGAAGATTGAAACTGAAACCATCTCTAAGCCCCAGCATATCTCAGAAGGTCTAAACCCCAGATTTCACTGTCAAGGCAAACAGGAGTTCTGCTTCCAACCCTCATGCTTTGCCAAAGTTGAGATCTGAATCCACAATTTAGTTTTGCAGACTGGACCAACACTTCATTGCTACAGTCAGTGTGATTTTTATACTGTGGTAAAGGGCTTTAAACAAAGTTTAGTACTGTTCCTGGATTTGGGGATCCTTAAATAGAATCCAGCCACAGAGGAGTTTTCTGTGCTTTCTACACATTCAGTGAAACACTATCAGGTTAATTCACACCACTGGCAGTGGAACTAATTCTGATGTCTTAGCTGTTTTCTAGTAGTCTATAGCTTAGCCTGTTCTCTGTAGTAGGTGCAAAATTCAGTTCTAATGGACTTTAGTGAGCAAGGAATTCCACTGTTTTTCCCATAATAGTGCAGCTAATGAGAAGTTTTGAATTAAGAGCTTCCATTTGCTTATTTTAACATCAGAAGATTTCTTTGCCTATACTGTTTTCAAGTGTAAATCTGCACAATAAATAGTGCTATAATAAACAGTCCTCAAACATATGCATGAACATCTGTACAGAGTCATACTTGGGGTGTTCTTGTGGTGCATTCTAGGAATCACTTTCCTTTGTGAGGGACAATTATTGCAAGTCAAAATTATACAAATGAGTGTTTTTCTGTAAGGAGCAACAATTTGTTAATGATTGAGGCCCTGCAAATAAGACATGCAACAGTCTGTGAAGAGCTCTGTGCATAATAAAGCCAACTGCAAAAGAAAAAGTGCTTCTTTCAAAAAACTCCAAAAGAGCAGGTGACACGCAGCTCATAAACACTGAGGAAACAGAAAACAGTCTCCTCTGTACTTCAATCACAAAAGGCACTGAATCAGATTTTCTATTAGTACTGCAAAGCCTCTGCCTCAAAGATTATGTACAATGGATCTAAGCATTCTGATAGCAAATCTATTTCATCAGATTTTTGAAAGTAGCTGTTCACCACTTAATTAAGGTTCTGTCCACACTAGAAAAATCTGCACTGGGTATAATTACCAGTAATTTATCAGATGAGTCATTCTGGTATACATGTCATCATGTCATGGTGAGAAGCTAAGCAATTTTACTGGGGTAGCTCTGTAGATATAACTGAATCTGTGCACTTAGTACACTTGAAATACATTTCCTGAATGTATTACAGATACACAGATATGTTCTAAACACTCAATAAAAATATTTTTAAGACTATGTTGCGATTTGCACCTTTTATATGGGTTGATCCATTCTTCCAGAATTTAAGCTTCTACTCATCCTAAGAAATAAAGTTCTAGCTCTCCATTTACTGTGGGCTAAGCCTTAATGAGATGACTTCTTATTGCTTTGTTTCATTTGCAATAATTTGCACTTAATGAAAAATCTGCTGTGCTGACCTAATGTCATAGTCAAAAGTTCAGCCCAAAGATAAAATATTAATCTGCTTTCAGGAAACTCTTCTACCATTTCAGGATATACACATGAAATGCACACATATTATACTTATCAGAAGAGATATTAGAAGCACCACCCAAGGCTACGGAAATCAACTATATAACCAGAGAGGAGCACAGGGACTTACCTCCCCTTGATCTGAAAAAACCTGTTTAAATGGGGTAAGCAAGTAAGAGAGCAGGTCAAAGGCATTCTGAGCTGCTGGGATGGTCCCGTAAGTGCTGTACCACAGCATCATGCAGAGAAGCTGTGCAATCAATCAGAAAAGACGTAATTAGCATCTCTCATTATGCACACATTCATTTTCATTTCAAGACTGCATAATTAACTAATTTAGTTAGCACTGATTTAACGTTGATTATCGCTTTTGCTTTAAGAAGTCAGGTATTTTCTAGGCTGCAGCTTAACATGAATAAAAAGACTGAAGGCTCCAAGCTGAGCCACTATTCACTAGATGTGCATCACTGAGTTACATAGGCTCCCTCCGACCCTCACTGGCAAAACGGCTGCCCAGCAAGTGGAGCAACACTGAAAGAGCAACAGGTTCCTCTGGCTTCTGAACTTTCAGGACTACTACTTTTAGATCAAAACTAGTAATTCCATGAATTTAGGATGTTATTAAAAGGCTCTTAAGGCCTCTCACAAACAGCCATGTTTCACATAGGTATCACTATAAATACACACACACATAGAAACTTTTCATTTAAACCACTCAATGGTGCTGCACAGACCACAGTTAAATATAAAGTCATTGCTTTTGTAGTTTATGTTAACACACTCACAGAGAGGTATAACCTCAACCCACACCACAGCTTGAAAGAGCACACCTCCTGCTCCACTTGTAAACAACATAGGTCTTTACCCCCCTACATATCAACTATGGAAAATGGATTTGGTGGGATATTGGTCATTTGGCAAAGGAGGCATTTGCAGGGTGGCAGGAAATGGGATGGGAGTCTGGGACATGAAAAGGCAGGGGCTGCTCTCAAGGCAAAGCTGTGAGAGATAGTTGCAGAAATGAGGACTACACCCACTCCCACTGCTATGTCTACAGTGAGTGAGGAAACCTCCCAACCTAAAAGAAGGGTCCCAGCATTCCAAAACCATGCCTTACCAGTATCTGTGAGAGGACAAACAGATACATGCTGTGTCCAGGTATTAATCCATTCCACGGGGGAGGCCAACCGAGCACTGCTGTTTTCTGGGAGGCTTTCAGGGACTGCTCCTTCCTGCTCAGCTCTCCTTGCCGTCCTTCAGCTTCATCCACTGACTCCATAACAGCTGGACGGGAACAACCTTCACGTGAGAACGACATGCGCAGGGGATGAATGGGATGTGACCCTGCAGGCACCGCGGGGGCTGCGGGGCTATTGTTTTCCTGGAGATGATGGTTACCTTTCAGTTCCGCCTCAGCAAGCGCAGCTCAGGATTGTGAGCGTCACACTCTATTAGTGCAGCTTTATTCACCTGCCTTCATCAGAAGAAAGTGAGTGTGGGTGGATAAATTATTTTCCCTTTCTTTCCGGAGGTGCAGATTCTGGGCTTTGTTGTTAACAAATTCTCATTTACATTGCTGCACTTTTTCATTTTTACTTTTTAAAAAAAAGCTACCTGTGCTATTGCCTAGCTACACGCTTCCCAGCTATGTGATGGCAGAGAACCCATTTTGCCCCTTCCTATATATCAATTTCTCTATTTATTTTATTTGTCTGCTTTGTATAATCCGATTATAGATTTCTGAGTAGAGACCGTTTCATCTTATGCGTCTGAATAGTGCTCAGGGACTCTGGGTTTTGGCTGAGTGTCCTAAGGCACTAATAAAATAGACTTTATTCCAATAACCCACTTCTTGGATGAATTCATACTCAAGAGCTATTTAATAATGTTGCAATGCTGTTCTGTTGAGTGGAAATAACCACTGGTGTGGCTATTCCCTCAGTAACAGTATTTTGAATAGCGTCTGTGTAGATATAAATTCATTTACAAGTAAGGAGTGAAAGATCAGAATCATTAGGTGTAAGTACTACTGATTTACGTCTTTGGACATGAGGAATGCCCCAAGGCTGGCCTGTGTACAACACTGTAGACTTAAGCCTAAACCAACCTCCTGTGTCCCAGGCAAAGGCCTCACCACTGGCCCTTGCATGATTTGTAGAGGTCAGGTTTCTAGAAAACTTTCCTCTCAGCAACCATTTCTCTAAATGTCCCACACTTGTAACGCTAAGTCAGATAAGCACCCAGTAACTAGCCATAGCTCTAATCATAAAATGAAATATATCTTTGTATCAGCTGAGGGTCTGTCCATAGTAAGAATTAATCTTTTAATGCTGGTTTTTTTTTGGTTTTTTTTTTTTATCCTAGACATCACAGGAAGTCTATCGCTCAGTCCTTAAAGCTGAAAAGTTTCAAGCTTCTAAACGACTTAATGTCTTACTAGATTCAAACAAAAATTGAGAGGAAAAAACTTGTTAATGATTGCCAATTTTTCCTGCTATTTTTGTGGGATGTTTATGTTCTGTGTTTTAGAACCAGAATTTGAAATTTAGCAGGGACAGAATCTTTGTGTCAGAAACTATTTTTGTTACCTTTGCAGAGAAACATGCACCTGTGGCTGAGATCTGAAGTTTCAAAAATATCTACTTTCTTATAGTTTATTGTTGTTTGCTCCTCAAGTCTCTAACCTTCCATTTTCACTAAACATAGTTTAAGTTCTACTTTTCCTTTATCTGCATTAAATAATGCACGTCTGTCCCCAAGAATGATTAATGAATATATTTACTGTTTTTCAGGTTCCGATGATTTCCTGTCTTGCACACTCCTTCCCAAATCTCAAGATAAAAGATACACAGTGCAAAACTAAAACAACATTGGGAAGACAACCAGACCAAGGAATGCAAGGAGCCAAGGAATGCAGATTTCATGTCAGCTTTCAGCTGGTTTTTATAAGTCATAATATTTCATATTTCAGAACTTTTTTTTTTTTAAACTGACTAAAGGTGCTGCCTTATGTAGCATGTAAACAGCATTTCTTTGTTTCATGCTTGTAACAGCCTGAGATTTTACAAGGCCATTTCTTGTTGGAAACAAACCCCTGACTATAATACAACGACATGAAGGCCACTTAACTGCATCTTTTAGAACAAAGATGTCAAAGTTAGGGCACTCTGTAACCATGGGGATCTGTGCCTCTCCACAGCCTACAAGTCCAACTCCTGGAATTCCAGTGTTGTCTAGTAACACCTGTACAACTGTGGGGGTCACATTCTCCTTCTTGCAACTGCACTATATGAAGGACAATAGACCACTCTTACTGTCAATTATTTTCACTGCATAAGGTAGAGAGAGACCTAGCTTGTGGACCTGGCTGCCCAGGACTCCAGCTCTGCAGAACTGACACTTTTATCAAGAGGTATTTTCACTAGCACAACAGAAGGCAAAAGGTGTAAGAACTAAAATAAGGGAGAACTGGTTGAATCCATACATATAAATAAAGATATACAGGCCTTAAATATACAAAGAGAAGATCTAGTATTAAGTCCACTCAAAAATTTTCTTCTACAAATCCCAAAAGATTAGATTCTAACAAATATAATGATGCCCACCTCAGGTTCTGCATGTATTTAACCATGCCAGCTTTAAACAATACTTCAATTAGCACTCACACATCATCTTGCAATCCTATACTCCTGTATTATTTGCCCTAATGGGCCCAGGATTCTTTCAGTTGCAGATGACATAATGAGTGAAACACCAGTGAAGCTTTCTTGTGTCAAGGTGATGTGAAGGTCTTGAGAGAGCTGGCAAAGGATCACTGCCTGCAGGAACGAACAGAGCCTCTCCCCTGCTCGTGATCCATGTGATAGCTTCCTCATTTCCTGCATCACAGAGAGGGGGATTTAAGTTCCATGAGTACTTCTGCTTTGGCATAAGACTACACTTGCTAGGGGGAAAAAAAAAAGCCTTTGGCAGAAGAATTAAAAGGTCTCTGACATCTGTAGCAGCCATATGGCTTGTGAAAACAAGCTGAAATTTCAAAACAGCACCATAAACTTAAACTCATCCTTGCCATTCAGGGAAAAGCACTTTCTGGATCATGCCAGGGATCCATTCATCCTGCATTCTTTCTTTAAACAGTGCCACCAAAACAAGCTGCCAAAAATACAAGGCACAGCACTACATATTATCATATTATGGAATAATTTATATAGGGAAACACCCTTCCTTCACTCAGGAGGTTAAAGCTGGCTTCTCTAACTCTGGCAATGCTCATTTTAACCCCCCTGTATCTTTTTTTTTCTGACTTCATATGTGGGTTCATAACAGGCAGAAGAATGAAAAACACCTATATAACTCTCAGAAAAACAAGTACTTAGAGTACTAGTCTTAGCTGAAATACTAAAAGGCACTGTAGCAATAACAAGCAAGTCAACAAAGCCTTACAGTAACAAACATGCCACGATCCCATCAAATCCTGCTGTGGGTGAAGCATTAGCAGCTCTGTAACTCGACTGAATCATACTTAAAGCCTTCAGAGAAAAACAAAACAAAAAACAACCCCTCAGAACCTCACATCCTGGCTGTATTTCCTAAGGAAGTTAACATTTTAAAAGGAACTTGTACACGGGTGCTAATGCTCAAGGAATTGGCACTGCTCCATTGGCAGACTTAATTTAACAATGTATTTTTGCAAGAAAGACTTATTCCTCAGCAAAACTGTTTTTATAACAAAAAGAAATGCACCCCAGCAATGAAGAGACAGTACTCATACAGTTATTAGATATTTATGTACATCCATCACACTGTCTCTGTGGAATGATGCTTCTGGATTGGAGAGTACTGCCTCTTCACTGGAAAATACAAATTTCGTTAATGGTGGATTGTGGGTTTTACCTTCCAAGATACACAAGACAGGAGAGCAAAAGAGACCTCACCTGTTCTGCCAAGTCTCAAGCTGCAGCAGCCAACACACCACAGCAGCTGGGCTGCATTGCCATAATTGTTTTAGGTGTATTGAGGTACATTTCCCTCTGAACTTGTCTACATCTTCATGACAGCCACACGTGGTGAGAATTTGTAGGAATGGACCACAGAGTGGAAGCATAACAAAGTATGAGGTATGCCAGCAATATCTCACACCCATCAGGATTACCAGCATTTCAGACCAGAGTCACAAGGCTGTTCATGGTTTCTGCATCTTCAGATGTCCAAATGCAACTGCCTAATGAAATCTCTGCCTCTAATTTCCATCTGACTGCTAGGGAAAACTGCTGTTGATGAAAGAATAGCAGATGAAAGTACACTATTGAGATAGTAGTCAGTCCACTGCTGAAAAGAGTTTTAACATGCACCTCAACTGCACACACAGGACACAGCCCTTGGCATCGTAGCTCACAGATCTGATCAAGACCTTATTAAATACACACATCATAAGACATCCTGATTGCAGACAAGTCCAAGCCCTGGAAAGACAAAGACACATCAAACCTGAATGAACTACCTCAAGCATGCACATGAACATGAGGCAGCTCGTGCTGGAGGGTAAAAACCTGTCTGTCCAAAGAACGGAGCTTTAGGAGATAGTTATTGGCTAAGAAAACAATCTCTTTTTTGGTTGCCACTGCAACATAATAAAAATGGAAATTGAATAATAAGCTTCCTTTTGCACTGCAGTGGTATGGGAAGAAGTGGGTAAGAGAAAGGGGACCTCTCATACTTGCATGGCAAAAACAACTTGTGTACTTATATTTTTCACTCTGCAGGAAACCAACCAGTGGGTCACTATTTTTTAACTCTGAAACTTCCACTGAACTTCTTTATGAACAGCAATCTAATTTATTAAGCAGTAAACATGACAACATTACTGTTTACAGACAGATAAAATTCACCACCAAAGAAAGTCTGCTTCTTCTTGATTCTGTCTGCACTCCTGACTCATCAGATCTGATAAGTTATGTTGAAAATTTACACTGAAAATATAATAATCTGTGTTGAAAACTGGGGATGCTTCCTCTCCCATTATTCATTTTTTTAACCTTTCTGACTATGACAACTGCTACTGTGCTTGATTCCTGACCTGCTCTGTTTACAAGAGTTCAACACATTTATGTTTTCCAAATGGCTGAGTAAAATGCTGCTCAGGAGGAGAGCATCTAGGCCCCAAATGTATCCAGACTGAAAACTGCAAAAAACCCCCAAACCTCCCCAGATACACCCCACAGCTACCTACTACTGACTGACTGGAGGTAGAGGGGATTTACTACAATGCAATCTCCTCAGTACCT